GGGAGGCTCTTCCAACAGATTTTTTTTAAAAAAAACTGAAATGCTGTTGTGGAGGCTGAGAATTTGGACAGATATTATTTAATTCTGTTCCTCCAGACTGTCTTTCTAAACAAAATCACCCTTCAAGCTGCTTTCCTATCTCACAGGGGAAACATCCCAGTCTCTTCAATGTCTTTCTCCTGCATATAGGAAGGTCTTGTAGATATCAATTTTCAATATAGCTTCTCCTATATTACTTAAATAAGTAAATCTAGTCTGATCTAATCTATTTTCTTGCAAGAGGAAAGTCAGCTGAGGGAGGACAACGTTTCACACAAACACAGCCTGAAAAGTCAGGATGGGGGTTGCATGTGTGAATCCTGCATGAGCAAATTTGACACTGCATACGATTGCATTCTAGGAGTATATGAACCATTCTAGTTCTCCGGAACTTGTAGTTCAGCTGTTACGGTTGTTCCTGGTTATTTTCAGCCCCACAAAACCAGCCCCCCACCAAAAAAAGGACCAAAAAATTCCAGCCACATCAAACTTCCAAATCTCAAGGAAACCAGGAGCTGAGCTGTGTTGAGAAGGTGCCCATCCTTGTATGCTGGGTGTTTAACTGGTCTGCTTAAAAGGGCTGCATGAACACAGCTATAGTGTGCAATCAGAATAGTAAGCCCTTTAAGGAAAATAGAGTACAATTCAGAAGCTGTTTTGTTTACTTATATTGCCTCTTTTCTCTTGAAGAATCTCTGTGTACAACCTGGGACTCCCTCAATTTTGCCTGGGTGGGATGTAGCTTAGGCAGGGGGACACTCCTGTGGCAAATTCCCCTTTAGGAAACCAAACCCAAGGGAACACCCAAAAGTTTTGGAAACAGCTGGATAATTATAAGCTAGATATTGTAGGGACAGTGGGGTATTCTTTACCCATGACAATGCATTACAACAGTAAAAACTAGCAACTAGGTTTGCCCCTGAAGTGGACCCATTTATATTTTCAACTGCATGTCCAGATTAAAAGCCCTCCAGTAGAAGCTGCTTGTACTAAGTTGGGGATAGAGGAGATGAATAACTACGCTCCCACAAAGCATTAGGCTGTTCTTCAACAGAAAAGATAGTGCTATTTTAAGTATCAGCTAAAGCTGCTTATTCATGGAATCCTAGCTGTTTTCCGTGGAAAAATGAGCTGACCTAGATGAAAATGCTTTGACTCAGAATTTGAGGAAGGGAATCTAAGACAAACATTTATATAATCATTAGATATTAATATTTGTAGTAAATAATACCTGAACATCTGCTAACTGTAATGAAGTCACTAGCATGGAGGAATCACTTAAAGGGTGAAAGCAAAATGTGTCTCCTATTTAGACAGCAAAGGACGTAGCCGAACATGGAGGGGAAGAGAAATCTGGCCCTAGGTAAGTAGAAATGTTGAATGCAGGTTCATATGGAATCCAAAGATGGACAGCATTTTGGGGGTGGGGGGATCAAAGGGCATAGAGGATGAAAAAAATGTTAAAAAACAGGCTGTGATTTCCTGTTTTTTCCCCCATTCAGTTTTTTTTTGGGGGGGAGGGGGGTTTAACAACTGCGTAAATCTACTTTATGATTTACACTGTAGCATTTTGTATTTCCTGCCTTTAATAGCAGCAGGGACATCTGCAGAGGTGGTCAACAACACTGAAATAGCGGGTGCCACCGGATAATCGAAGCCCAGCTCCCTTTTAACGTGCCTCACCTGGACTTCATACATATAAAAAGGGGCAGGCTTGGATCGGCTAATCACGCCCAGCATTTTTACTTCCTTGACTGCCCCTGAATACTGGGAAACTGCCCAACTGATCCGCAGCAACAATGGTTAGAGGGCTTATGAGGCTCCATTTGAGGAGCTCGGGTACTGCACGTGGCCCTAAGACTGTAGGCTGTCTACTCCTCCTCCTCTGTCCTCTAAGCAGGATGCATGCACAGACTCCACTGAGACCAAGAACCACAACCCAGGAGTTGCAATCCAGTCAGCGAAGTCAAGCCCGGGGAGCCAACTGGACTTCTGTCACAACCAGGGTTGTGGAGTCGGAATGGGAGTTATGGAGTCGGAAGCAATTCTTGGGTTACTGGAGTCAGCGTCGGTAAAAATGTACTGACTGACTAATAAATTTAAATTGTATATCATATAAATAATGTAATAGCTTAAATTTCCTATTTCATAGATAATAATTTGATTAACCTATTTTTTTCAGGATGTATTTTAATTTTAATGCCTTGTATGTTGAGTGCTTGCAGTCCATAAAGGAAACATATAATTAGTGTATTTATAATTTATTTCCTATAGCGATATATAATTAAAGGAGTTGGATCGGAGGTACCATGAATAAAGAAGTCGAAGTTGAAGGTTTTATGTGCTGAATCCACAGCCCTGGCCACAACATGGCTTCTTCATTTTTCAGCTCCTGTCAATGTTGTACCCAAACTGTCTTTGGGAGTATGCCTGCAGTTAAATTAAGCTCCCAAGCCTCATATATTGCACTTGTCACTAACATGCTTTCTTGGTCAATGAGAGTTTCTGCCCTTTTAGAAAAGATCAGTGAGTATATTCAGAAAAAGGAAAAATGCAGACCCAGAACATAGACACTCCCACATAATGGGCATTCAGAGACCCATGAAAAGATAACTTGCAAGCACCACAGTGGAGACTCCTAAAATCTTCTCTGTGTGAATTCAAAAAGCCCCCCTGCTTTTTTATGGCAAGTATCTGTCTCGGAAGATCCTGCTTTTAAAGACCATTCAGTTCCAAAGGCTTTTGGTCAAAAAGAAAAAAATATTAAAAAAGGATTGAAACTATAGTATATGTAATACTTCAAAATCTTAAAATAGTGTTTTAAAACTCCTGCAATTTAAGAGTTTGGATTCAAATCTGATTTAGACCGGTCACAAAGCAAGCAACACTGAAATAAATAGGATTTACTTCTGAGTACGCACACCTAGGACTGTGGAGGCAAAAGGGCTCAGCCCTACATCCCCCTAGCCATGGCATGAAAGTGGCCTGGTAACGTCTTAACAAAGCTCCTCATGATGCATCCCTGTCCACAGCTAAGGGAGTTTCAAGTCATCTTTGGTGGTTCCTATTTTAAAATACTGTAGTGTTTTCTCTCTTCCAAATCAATTTTTGATGTGGATACAATCTTGCACACTTCATTAGCAATGGAGTTGCTAACATGGGCAGGGATGGGATCTGCCCACCTCCTGTTGGCTACTTTAGGTTACTGTGGGCATAACCCTTGCCCTCTGGGAACAGCCTTCTACTTCAGCTGCAGGAAAGGCTGGATAAATGACTTCCATGGAGGCATCTCCCTGCATAATGAGCCCTAAAAACAGGACCAGTCCCCTTGAGAAAGTTAGTCTTGTGCTGCACAGAATGTTGATGTAAGACAAGAAAGATATCTTGGTTCCACCAGTTGTGTGTTCCTCGTTCTCTCACTATTGGGTGCATTACAGCTATCCCACCTCTTTTACTAACAAAGGGTTTTGTTCTATTGTTAATGTCTGGATTACTCTGAGGAAGGAGCAGTACTGTTTTTCCTAATCTACTTGACAGCAAGCCATCCCTGGGCTACCTCCAGTCTTGCTGGCCAGAAGAACAGAACCCAATTTGCTGCCAGCACTGCCATTCTCTTATAGCACTAGTCAAGGGCATCTGAGCCTTTCTGTAGCTCTACCGCACTTACCCTCATACCTTCCTCTGTGCCTGCTACCTGTCAGTCAGGTGATTTTTGGATACAGATTTAGCATTCTTTCAGAAGAGCGCTAGATCCATGTTCACAAACAGCCCAACTGACAGTTCACAGGAATACCTGTAGTCTAGTAGGCAACTTGAAGGATGGCTGAGCCCACCATTCCAAACACTCATCTACATTCATCCAACTCCAATCTACCCCACATTTTGGAGAGTGACTGATGTTGTTTTCCCATATGTAGACAATGCTTTGTGAAAGGGAAAACCAACCCAGGGAAATCCACCAATTGGTCTTGCATTAACATAATAAGAACAGCACCAGTCACTGGCCTCCTTTGATTGGGTCAGCAGACAAATATTGTGGCAGAAGATTCCTTGGTAAACATGGCAGCAAGTTTTATGCTGGCATACTTCCTGCCGGTGCAAGGATTGGTAGATAGAAACTGAACCTGAGCTTCTGACTGCATCCAAAGACCACTTCCATGGGATGCATAGAAGGCAACTCTCACGTGAACAAAAAATAGCCCTCATCTTTATTGTCAGAATCATTTTCCTGAGCCCGTTCTGAATTTTTAAAAAGAAGCTTTCATAGTGAGGGAGAGCTTATATTTGGCAAATATTCACCTTGATCATCAAGTTGTGTGAAAACTAAGAAACACAGGCAATGAAAAGTTAATTAAACAAATGAAAAGGCAATTTAAAGAAAAGACCACTGTTTTAAGTGTTCTTACCCCAGTCCATCTAAAATGCTTTCTGTATGCCTACATGTTATTGAGCTAAAAATCTAAATTTCTATTCATACTTTTTCTTGAGAAGTAAACCTCACTAAATTATTGCTAAGCAAAAATGCACTGCCTCAGGCTTTAATGTGGTTAAGTTCCTCACAGTGTAAGAAACTTATGGCAGCTGCTACAGTCTAATAAATACTTTACTTACCTTGAATTCTAAGAATTATATTATGTAGTCAGATCAATATAACAGGTGTGCTGTGTGCTTTCTCTATATTTTCAAGATCTATAGTTCCCCAGAATAAAATATCATTTAGCAAGCCAGATTTCCTAAAGATGTTTGGCAATCAAATGGGCATACATTACTTCCATGTGCTCCTGGAAAGTCATTGGTACACTTATATTCTAGTTTTAGCATCTCTCTGAAATCAGAGAGTAATCTCACCATCCAGTTGGGGGGGGGGGGCCTTCATAAAAAAATAGCTTGAAGCAGCTGGTTTGGAGCTTCTAAGCTGAATCGTTCAATTCTCCAGAGATGAGTAAGCACACATTTCTTACCTCCAAAGGCAGGCCTCATGGTGAAATCATGGTCCTCTACCCTCAGAAGCTGTTTGTTGTTCCCTGACCACGCTTTGGTCATGTCATAGTTCTTTTTATATGTGTGACTAAAATGGGAAACAAGAATACCAGCTATAATTTCCAGTCTCTGAACACCATGAGAGGGACCATTAAAAAAACTGAAGGGGGGGGAGTTTGCAAATAAAAATACAGTGGTACCTCGGGTCACGAACTTAATTCGTTCCGCGACTCTGGTCGCGAC